TAAACAATTGTCGAATAATCTTTTGCTCTTTTAAGAATTCCAAAATGAGCCTTCTGGGACATGTCAAATGCTCATCTCTTTGAGCATCCTTTTTCTAGTGAGGCCTAAAGAAGGTGCTCAGTGGATAATCAGGCAAGTGAGTATCTTGAATACTCTGTCTCTCAGCCACAAATGGTTTGTGATTCAAAGATTTCCAAGCTAGGGACATTATAGAGTATTTCCATGTGTTCAGTACCACTCAGGGGTTTTTCTTCTCTTCTTCCTAAATGTGTAAGTTCAGTCACTTGATAGTATGTTATTTGGGATTTTTTTTTGGCATGGTATTGAAACATGCAAAGAACTTTCTCAAAAGAAACAGAGAAGGCAAGAATGGAGTTTGCATTGATGTTGCCAACATCAATGTTTGCTTTAGTCTCTTGTAAGAGGAGTTTCACTGACCTCCTCTCGGTACTCCAAAAGTCCCTGATTCCTGAATGTCAGGTTGCTGGCTGATACCTTCCAGGCTCCAGAGGAACACAGGCATCTTGGATATAGAATCCAAGGTCTTCACTTGAGGAAGCAGGCTTTCTCTACCACTATGGGGCCCTTGAACTTGGCTCAGTGCTCAGTGGTGAGCCCCTGCTGCCTGTGGAGCACGGGGAGAAGTACTCATGGCAACCCATGTTGCTAGGCAGATGGATGATTGTGTTTTGTTCCTGCTACCATGTTCTCAGGGATCCTGGCTTCACTTCTAGATATAATTAATGGTAATAAAGTCTGAAGGTTAAAATATATGGATCCCTAGGGCCATTTTTGTGCCTGGGTGGGATGGAGAACAGCATCCTGGCACTTACATATAAAAGAGAGAGCTTTTTTCTGCTGCAGCTCTTTAGGCGTAGTCCCAGAGGCCGAGCACTGCCAGCAACTCCTTGACATTGAAGAATATTGCTGCAGTAAAAAATGCGCTTTTTTCCCTAGTAACTCATTTTTAATGTATGTTCAGTCACTTTTCCTCAAGTGCAGCTTTGCTGAAGCTGGACAGGAGGAGCAAAAGATCCAAAAGATCCATAGCTGTACATGATAGGTATTTACCAGGACAGTTCTAAAGCAATCCCATGGACTGAGAAGTGATTGAGATGGTGCTATTATAAGCACACTTCAAACCTGATTTTTCCCCTTTCTTCCTTCTGTGTTTTACTTACAGACTCGACCAGTCACTGAGCCTTCTCCCTGTAAAAGAATATCTCACCCTTCCTGCCTTCCTCTCTGCTTCTCTCTCTCTTCTAATTGCATGGTCCAACTTCCTGGATGTGCTGATTGAGGTACTTGTCAGATCCTTTTCTGAATTTCTTAATATGGCAGAACACTATTCACTTTTTGATGGATTGTTTTTTTAATACTTTAGTGACTCATATCTGCTTGCAGTGAGTGGCAGAACAAGCACAAGGTAGAAGAAGGTTGTGCAGGCAGCAATAGGGAAGGAAGAGCAAGACTTGGATCTCTCCCTTTCAGCATTGGTGAATTCCATACGTGTCAGGGAATCATATGCTGACATTTTATTTAAGAGATCAGACTTTTTGCTTCGAGGTTTATGACCTGTAGAAAAAGTAAAGGAACTCCCTTGCCAATTTATGTGCTCTTTGCTATTCTGTAGGTGAGAACAGGAAGACTTATTTTTTACCAAGAAACTAAAGTTTTGACAGATATGGTTAATATAAACATACCAGCAGCCCAGAAGAGGTCAGTGGTAGAGCAGATAATGGGGGGCATGCCTATATATCTGTCTCTACCCACTCCTAGGGGTAGAAGCCTCCTAGGCTTTTCTTCATCTGGTCCAAACATAAGATCAAAGCCTACTGTTACAAAAAGAACAAGACAGAAGAAAAGCTGTCTTCCCTCCCACTCATCAAGGAACTGAGCTAACTGCTCTCAGTGTAATTTACCTAAATTCCGTAGGGAAAGATACAGCAGAGGTAAGGAATAACGGAGTTTTTTATCTGGTTGATGTGTATTTGGGCGAACAGATGTTTAGATAATACTCCGTTTTTAAGAGTCTGTTTCTGAGTGACACAAATCAGCCCCTAATCCCAGAGAAAGAGTGGAATGAAGGTACTAAATGCACTTGGGTCATTCATGTCACATTGGTAAAAAAGGGTACTGTGACATGGAAACGCCTGCTGAGTGGTACGGCTGTACCCATTTAGCTGCAGAGGAGTTACAGGTAGAGTCCTGTCACAGAATTACAGTTATCCACCTACTTTTTCTGGGAAGAGCAAATGAATACGCTTCTTTGTGCCTTCAGTTACATGGTCCCAGAGGACCCACAGAGGGAGTCCTGCAGTGAAGGTCTTCAGCAAGTGTTTGGAAAAAAGATGTGTCCAAATGCTGCAGCCCTGAAGCCATGGGCGGGACACTGCTTTGTCAGATGTTGCTACACCTCCTTGAAGTGCTTTATCTTTTACGTCACTTCTCCCATTTTAGAGCTGTTTTTTTGTTGATGAATAACATTTCTGAACATATGCATGGAAAATATGCAAAATGTGTGATAGGACCCTGATAGCTAACACGAATGTATGTGATTAAATTAAGTTCAAAAGTAAGGGTACCTTATGTCTATCAGACTTCAGTGGATCCAGGATTTGTATCAGTAATGCTGAATCTTTCCATATTTTCCCTGAGATATTTTCTGACATTTTTAAAATGAAAAATTACAATTTTAAAAGGGTATGTTCTCTTCAGAGAAGCTCTGTAAAGATCTTGCATGCAGCAGCTGATATTTCAAGCTGTTGAATTAGTAGTTCTGGGTTTCCTTTTGTACTTGTCTGTGCCAAAATGTGATTAGTTGTTTCAGCCCACTCATACCCTTGGTTTGAGATATCTGTGCATTAAGTTAGAAGGGAAACAGCCATGTGGTTCAGGTCCAATATTTGATCTGCATTATAATTGTTAACATTTTTTTTCCTACGTAGATTTTTCAAGATATGTTGCCAGGAAATTTTAAAGCAGTGAGTTCTCGTTTTGAAGTGCTTTCTCATTCCATATTTTGTTCTGCTCCTGGAGACAGCCAAGATATCAGAGCCCTGTGTGTCAGGAGTTGCGAGAAGAAGGAGAAACAGGTGGCTGCAAGCTACTGGAAGCAAAAGGAAACTCCATGCAGGAGCAGACAATGCAGATGAAGCACTTTGATTTACGGTAATTGTCCTGAGTGGAATCTCAACGACACAGACAGGACAGCTCAAAATACTGTTTGCTGAAATTAATATGAGCTCTGAGTCACTGAAGATTCTTCAGCTAGACTAAAGGTATCAAACTTAACAAGTGCAAACATCCAGGATTTGAGCAATACCTTTATACACTCAGAATGACACTCTCACCAAGGAGCTATAGTAGCAGCTCATGTGGGCCAGAGTCGGCTGCTGCAACAGGACGTAGACTTTGTGGTGTATATGATGTGTCATTGCTGTAGTGTATTTCATGATTTCCCCTTTCTTCATCAGCTTTTGCACGCTGCTTTCATTACCATCTCTCTTGGAGGAAACAAAGGGGTAGCGAGGAAAGCCAAGTGCAAGCCCTGGTGAAATTGCTGGGAAGATGTTTTACAGGTGGATGCCTGAGTGGAGTTTCTGTCTTTTCACGTCACATTTGAAGTAACTCACTTCAATTCAAAGGCTACTTTAAACACCTAATAATCTCACTAAATTTGCACAATAACCAATATTTGTATTTATTTTAAACCTGAAAGTTGTTCATATTCTGCGCATGGAATTATCATGAAAACCTGAATAACTAGAACAGGATTTTTTAGACCTTTTTTTAGGGATATGTAGTAAACATTTGAATCAGTGTAGTGTTTGTAGAAGAGCTGTAAGTGTGCTGTGATTAATTAGGTGATCTGGAAAATGACATAAGAAATGTAATGCTGGGTACAATATTCAAGAACATGAAATTCCGCATTTGGGTTAGGAGAGGGAAGAGATAAGAAAACTCTGTCCTTGCCAAAACAATGTATTTCACACTTTTCTTCAGTTTCAAACATGTGATTGATCCACCACCACATGCCTACAACCAGGAAAGACGAAAGTTTTCTGTGTGGAGAGGTTGAGGGAATAAGAAATGGGACCCTCGTGAGACTGAAAGATAAGGGTCTGTCTTTCTGCTGCCGCTGCATCCTCTAAATTCAGCTGCCATGCTGTTCTCACAAAAACTTCTGTTAGCAATTTGAGAGGAAACAAATCTGTGCTCCTCTTGTAGTCAAATGCGTAATTTGAAATATTTAATTACTTTAATAAACTGCTCAAGTCGGTAGATAACCTTTCTGAGGGATCAGCTTTGTTCGAGAGCATAATCAGCTGTTTTCCCAGCAGAGTAAAGATGTATTCTCTTGGGTATCCATTACACCCTCTCTATTCTGAGCCACATTCAATAAAAATGCAAAAAAAAAGTGTCTGAAAGGCAAATAGCAAATGCTAAAATGTTTTTTAAAAATGATTCTTTTAAAGCAGAGAAGACCTCTTTTTGAACCAAACAAAATGTGGTTTTTTTTGAAATTTCAGGCTTCCATCAATACTGGGAACATTGTAACTGAGAGCTGGAAATGAATGTGTGAGGAGCAGTCGTCCACACGGGCTTTGCAAAAATTTAATATCTGACAAACAAGCACCTGCTGTGGTGAGGACAAGGTTTTAGTCCTAGGAATTTCATAAATATTTATTTTCTAGGAAAATATGATTGCATCTTGCCAGAATATTAATATTTATATTTTTTTCTATCTTCACAGTTGTTTTAGAGTCAGAAGAACTAGGCATCACAACCCTGTCTGTTAAAACACACAGCTAAATTTAAACCACACAGTTTTATTTAATATCACTAAGACAGAATATTTTAGCTGTTTCAGTGCGATGGTATTTAGAATAACATGTTCTTTCACTTTCTGAAGCTGAGATATGCGGAGATCTATGCGATTGCGAGGAAAACTCTTATTTTTAAGAGAAATGTAGTCCTCTGAAGTGTCAGGTTTAAGCGGCGGGTTTAACTTGATTCCTGGCTGGAAGGGCAGTGAGGTGCAGTGGGGGGTCAGACATGGGGTTTGGGGATGTTCTCCATCTCTTAGCCCAGCGGGGAGCGACCCTCTGCTACCCCGCGCCGGTGTGTGCAGGAGAGGGCCCGCCCGGGCCCGGCCAGGCCCGCGTCGCCATGGCGACAGCGCCGGCGGCTGCCATGGCGGAGAAGGAGAGCGGCGAGGGTAAGGTTGGCCGGGGCCGGGCCGGGCCAACCCCGGGGCTCCTGCCCGGCGGGGCGAGCAGGCGGGCAGCGCGGGGCACGGGCCGCCGCCAGGCGATACCCAGAGAGGCCCGCCCGCCTCGGGCCTCCGGCGGCGGGAGAGGCGGCGGCGGCGGCGGCGGGGTCAGCCCTGCCCGGGGCTGCTGCCAGGGTGGCACAGGGACAAGCACTGAGCGACACAGGCAGGCGTACACACACCCACACCCACCCACCCACACACATATACATGTATATGTGTATTGTAGTCTTCAACATCTTCACGAGGGGCAGCAGAGGGGCAAGCACTGATCGCTTCATTCTCGTGACCTGTGTGACAGGACTTGAGGAAACAGCCCGGAGCTGTGCCAGGGGAGGCTGAGGTTAGGCAGTAGGAGAAGGTGCTTCACGCAGAGGGTGAACAGGCTCCCCAGGGAAGTGGTCGAAGCACCAAGCCTGACAGAGTTCAAGAAGCATTCTGACAATGCTCTCAGGCACGTGATGTGATTCTTGGGGTGCCCTGTGCAGGGCCAGGAGTTGGACCCAATGATCCTGATGGGTCCCTCCCAACTCAGCATATTCTGTGATGGCGTGATGCTATATATGTATATATATATGTGTGTATGCATATATATATATTTGCATATATCTGTGTGCATGTATGCACTTATGTATATGAAAGCATGCACACGTGCATATTGACACACAAAGAAATACATCCCCTGCCCCCCATTCCATTCAAGGTGGCCACAGCAGTGCCTCCACCTCAGGGCAAGGAGCTGCTCCTCAGCACTCCCTGCCACAGGGGATGCCACCAGCTACCCGTGTCACCCGTGGCCAGTGCCACCCATGGGCAATGGCCACAGGCACTGGCAGCCTTAGGATTGTGTTGCTGCCACTCAGCTGAGCGGCTGAACCCACTGCTGGAGTCACTTGGTCGCCTCCTCTTGCAGTCATTTCTGGATGCATCGGACTCTCTCTGCCAGAAAAAAAGTAATCTGTGCCGCTGATAGCACTCTGGCTTATTTTTAGAGGCAGGCATGTTCTACTTTGGGAGAGTTGCCAGAAATTATATTTTATAGGTTAAAGGTAATTCATTCTTCAAGGATATTCAAGTACCATTTCAAGGAAAACGTATTTTCTGCAAAGCTCACAATATTGTGACTTCTGAAATCCATCCTTTCTGTAAGTAAACTTGGTGTGTTGCAGTAGTTTGCAAATTCTGAGCATTGTATTTGAAATAGTTTAAACAATGGATTATTTCATACTGTTTAGAAAACAAATAATATATTCCACAGGGCAGTCCTGTATAAATAGTTGCTGTGGATAGTGCTAGATGAGTAATCTGATTTTGGTAGAAGTATTTCTAACTGCACACACAGATACCTCACAGACATTGAAAAATAAGATTGATGTAGCTTTGTTGAGGACTGTTCTAAAAGTGGCTGTTTTTAATATTGTTTGTCATTTTTGTTTAGTCTTGTGAAAGCGCATTTTTTGCATCTTTTCAGTGTTGCAAATGAAGCTGAGGTGCAGCGCTGGCAGAGGTGAATAGAGATGATAGGATAGCAGCCTAGAAGTCTGCCAAACCATCCGAGAAGGGAGAATCTGGTGTTCTGGCAGGACAACAGTAGTATTGGGAAGTTCAAGCTCCATGTATTTGGGGCACTCATATGTGTAATACTGAGATTTTGTACCATTTTGGTAATCCACAACCAGAAACTCTTGGAGAAGAAAGGTCATAGGTTTTTGACTGCTCAAATAATGGCTTTAAATGACTTTTTTTGTCGCTTCAAAGTGAGAGTGCTTTGTAAGAAGTTTAATTATTGTATTTCTAAGGACAGATCTCTTGGGTTTTTTTACACTTCATGTTTTTTAACATCCTGTGAAACACTATTCCCAGTAGAGTATCAGATGCCATCTTCTAGAGGAAAATTGTACTGTCATCCTAAATGTCCTTGATCCATAAACTCCATCCCTGGCCCTGCCAATGGTTCATGGAAAGTGACATTTAGTTTCTTATCTATAGAATGAAGAAAATAACCTGTATCACAGGGAAAAGTCACTCAAGAGAATCACAACAGTGTCTGCTGTTAGGCAAACCAGTTGCTTATCGCCCTATAAAGGTGCCTCATTATTATAAACACAGCTGAGGTAAGCTAAAAGTCTCATTAGCAGAAGCAATCCCCTAAGAATAAGTCGCTTACACCATTTTAGGCTTGCTATTAGCCTTCTTGCTGATAGCAGTTAGAGGGTTAATAGGATTCCCCGACTCCGGATTCGCACATTGATTATGCTTTCTTCTGACAAGTATTCCACATCTGTGCAAACTGCAGCTTTTACTTTATTATGCTTCAAACTAATAACATTAGTTGCATTGTCAAATAATTAGTCCTTAGAGTATTCCTCTCTGTTCTTTGCAGAACTGCAGTTCCACCAGCTTTCATGGAAAGGTTTCCCTTAGGTCCTATTATCTTCCAGGTTCTGTCTTCTTCAAAGTCGAAATGCCTGCTTAAATGTTTTACAGATGTACATGATGTACACAAGGAAAAACGGTGAAAGGCCAAATCCTTCTGCCTATTGAACATGTTATTCACATGAATATTACCCTCTAACTTAAGCAAATGTTGTGAATAAAATCTTGTATATGCGTAAGTGTTAATGGGATCGTGCCCATAATATCTGTAGCTATGTGTTTTATGTATGAATTTATAGCCCTACATTTGTGCTTTCAACTATATTTAATGTTTTTTTCATACCCATCTGATCATGCTAGACTATTTGCTTAATGTTTCACTTTTGTGCATTTATCCCTATCTTCCCTCCTATTATTCTGTGCCTTTCCCTTTTCTGCTACTTAATTCAGTCTGTCTGTTCTTCCATTTGCTCTCAGATACTGTCTTTGTAATTTGACACAACATGTCAGATTTTCTAAGTTTTAATACCTTTGATCTCAATACTGATGTTACCAGAACCTGAAAGCGAAATGTCAGACTGGTAGTGCCTCAAGTAGAATTAGACAGAAGACATATTTTTTTCCATATGGGATTTTAAAAAGTACATAAAGGAGAGAACGCTCAGTGTTCCTGTATCATTATGGAAATGTTATGTAATTGATTGGTATTAGAGTTTTTGGTAAGACCATATTCTTTCTGCCAGACAGTGCATATTTAAAATGCAACTAATAAGTCATGGATTTTAATCCAAACGGGAGTATATTAAATAATCTGAGTTCCTGTTTCACCCTGTTACGCCCACATGAAACCAAACAACTACTTCTGGATAACAGGTGTCCTTCAGAAAGTTACTCTATTCGGATGTGAAGACTTATGGAGAATAACCTTATGGGGAATAACCTTCTGCAATGATGGTTTTCTCTGGTAAATGATTAGTAGTTGTTCTGGGTAGTTTGAGTTACAGATGCCATATGTAATGGGGCGTCACAAAACATCTTCCTGCCACATATGAAGACACACTGTCGAGTGGATGTTATAAGTGGAGATGAGAAAGAGGTTTCACCCCAATTTTAGTATGGAAATACAGTAACAGTGTGTTCAGTCGTACCTATATGTCTGCTCTTTACCGGCCCAGGTTGGCTGCCTGGCATGCTGGCGAAATCAGGGCTTTACTGGAGATAACATTTTGTAAGATCTACTACATATCCCATTCAACTACTACCTTCTTGCAAAGAAGCAGAGTTGCCACTACATCACCTGCCATGCTGAATCTTCTTGTGTCTGGAATTAGCATCTAAACCTTCCCTTTCCATGTCACCTGGCTCTGCCTGCCTTTTGATACTGCTAGAGATACTGAAAATGCGCTATCACTGCTCGTTCTGTTTTAATAAAGTTTCAAGTCAAAGCTTAGGGAGCCTAGGAGCTGCCATGAGCACTGTAGGCAGTCGTAACCATTAATTCTGCTTGGAGCACACTTAATTAACATGAGAGTTTCAAACCTGACACAGAAAAGCACTTAAGCCTTGTAAGGCTTTGGGGAATCCTGCTGAATGGGATAACATGAGCCACATGACGGTTAAGCACATGAGTACATTTAAGGGTCTCGCTATATTGAGGATTTTAAAATATGTTTTTGAGAGTTTCATGAATGAGCATCAGCATTTGAAAGGTACAAAACCTATAAATTAAACACTCACAATAAACCTTCAGGCTAGAGTAGTCTATCAGACAGATTATCTCAATTTAAAAAGTGGCAGTGTTTCATTTATGGGAAAATATACAAAATTAGTATGAGCTGTTAAAAATAAGTGGCTTTCATAGGGCTCAAGCAAGCAATATTTCAGCTCTGGAAGAAAATCTGAATATATGAGATCACTTAGGAAATCAGTGTGCAGTTTTATCACAGTGGAATTTACAGATGAACACTATGAATATTTTTATATTCTCTTGTTGACATTACTGTAAGAAATTACATGAGAATAAAAGTTTATAGCCTTTATTAGACTGTAATGCAGTTTAAGATGCATCCTGGCATCAATCTGATTTATGTTTTAATATTTATACTTGTTTGAGAGTGAAACAAAAAATAAATTCTGTCCATGGACAAATACAGGTTGTAGATCTGATCCTCGTGGCTACACTTACCCAGCAAAATTGATCTCAAATGAATGTAGAATAGGTAATTGCAGATTGACTTGTTTCTTGTTTCCATGGTGCATAAAACGACAGAAGTTTTTCAGTTTGGCTCTACTTCTAGATGATTTATTGAATAAAAATTGGCTGGTGTGCAGACAAAGGCTTTAAACTTTTTTGTCTTTTAAACAATACCAACCAGCAGATACACAGGGCTGACAGGGAGCTTGAGAACTCCCACAAATTAGCTTTCCAACAATAGTTAACATGTTATTAAGAATTTCCATGTCTACATACTAATTACTCTGAGATCTGAGAGGTTGGGAGGTTTTTTTTTGCAATTTAGGAGCACCTGTATTTTGTGCGAACAGATACTGCTTCGTTGCTATTGGCAATAAAATGTGTTGGGCTGGAGGCTGTGGAAGGGAAATGGTCTTTTGGGTAACAGAGATCTGACATGAACCTGTTGTCATGCCCAGTGTTTAGCCCCTAGGTGGGAGGTGGCCATGCAGACAGGGTGCTGGTCACACCAATGCTCTGTCCTGGCCAAATCCCGCCGTGGGGTTTGGCTGCCGCAGCTATTTCTGCCTTGAGATTATGGCTGAGGTGAGGGGCAGAAGCTGAGAATATCTCCTACACATCCTGTGAGGTATCCTGAGGGAAGAAGGGGCTGTGGCAGCGGCATCCCAGCCCAGCCTTGTACTCAGCATGGCAGTGACACAGGGAAGGGAATGAGACAGTCAGTGGAGGGCCTTGGGGTGTGCAGAGATGGCCAGAGAAGCAGGTACCCAATGCGAGGGTAAAAGCTAGTGGCACGATGAGGAGCTGGAGTTGGCAAACCTACCTCTGATCCCCACTCCTTTTGAGGTTGGATTAGATGCTGCCTGGTGGGTCTCAGAAGATATTTTTATAAATAACGGGCTTCAATTGTAAATGTCTATCTCTAAGAAAGTATAGAGTACCCAATTTTGGAAAATGACAGCTTAGCCTGTCTCAAATGATTACAGGAATGTTGTTAATTGATTGTTAAATGTGTATGTCTTAAGTTTGTCAGTTGAAATGCTGTACAAATTCAGGATATTGCTCTTAGGCAAACAAAAAGAAAATTGGAGGTTCATCTTCATTCATGGTGTATAAAGAAAGTGATTCAGGACTGTAAATGATACTTTCAAGACAGCTCCTTGAAAAGGAGCAGCTGCTGCAAACCCCTGTAATCCTTTTGCCATTTTGTTTCTCTCTAACAGTCTTCCTTTGCTTCGTCAAAGACAGAGTAGTACCGATAGAATTGCAACCAGTTTGGAAACTATTTTTCTAACCCATTTAACACTCTATGAGGCAACTTGAAGGGCTTGTGCTACGTTACATAATAACAGCATGCATTAAAAGTTATACTTAAAACCCTCATTCTCCTCTTATATTGTAGATTCAAAAGAAGAAAGTTTACAAACTGATGTATTCTAGCAGCGATACTGTAGTACCGCAGTTTAACTTCATAATGGCTTTTGTTTAAAATACTTTAGTTCTCAGAGCATTAGTGTCCAGTTGATTCTGGTCCCTAGTTCTGGACCACTTGAGCAGTCTCTGTGCAGAGGCAGTTCAGTAGGCATATTCAATTTACAAGATGTTTGCTGCTGCCACACGTGCACTCAGGTGTCCACTGTCAGTGTCAAGTGACAAGGGGCCCTGTTGGGGCTGTCCCATGTCCTTGGCAGAGTGAGCTGCTGTTTTGGGGCCGCAGCAGCACGTGCATTGATGCACGTTGTTGGAGTGTGGGGTGGTGCATGGGTGTAGTGAGCTGTGGATGTTGGAGTTGTCCTTTGTGGCTCTCCTGTCTGCTTCTGGGGCCAGCAGTGTGGGGAGTCCGGGAGAAATGGGGACAAATGCCTTCTGTGACCAGACAGCACGGGTTGTATTCTGCCAGTGTCACAGCCTATGTAAGCTTTTCCTTTTCAGCAGCAGCTGGAGATACAGCGAGACTTGGCATCACCAGGAGAGCTACATATCCTTGCAGGGCAGTTTGCTGGTGATGATGAAAGAGAATATAAGTATGGGCTACACATAGCTCTTTCGTTATATCTCAGGTGTGGCTGAGACAAAAGAAAGATATAGAACAAATTGCAACAGTGTAGATGACTGTTTTTGCCAGCTCTGAGCTGCCACAGGGGTGCTGGTTGATACCACTGCCAGAGCTGGGACTTCAAGGATGTACAAGATATCCCTGATGGAGATTTTTCCCTGCCTTACGAAAAGGGACACTGCATGCAGCTGGTATTGACTTTAAAAAAAGTGTCATGATTATTTTCTGCAGGCTAAAAAACATCAAGTGCTGGCATTTCTTTGACTTCTCTGAAGGAAGAATAACATCCTGACTTTCCTCAAGAGAAGTATAAGGTATTTGAATGTATATTACCTGTGAATCACAGGCATACAGGAAGCAATCCAGATCTATGCATACATCAGACTTCCTTACTTTCTTTCTTTGGATGACTGGAGGCACATCTCCACATCATCTGATCAGAAGAGAAGACCTTTGTATCAAAAGGAAAGGATTTCCCCCCATCAATCTGCAGCTCAGCGCAGAGCATGTTGTTTCACTGCCCTCAGTGTCGGTTGCATGCAATGGCAAGTATTTGGCAACTTGTCTGTGGTCACCTGCTAGCAGAAGGAGAGATTTTTTGTTAGAGCTGGACCTGTGCAAATGATTAGGGTGAGGGTGTTAGTCAGACCTTGCTGCTTTGGCTCATGAAGCTCCAGGTTTTGTGAAGTCAATCTCAGTCACCAGTGGAGTAGCTGCAAAATGATGATATGCTTGTCTGGCTGAAATTCAGGTCATAATTGAGACCAGTTAGGTCCAATTTGGATTCTTCCTGAGAGTCCTTATTGCATGCTGCTTCCAAAATAATAATCTGCAACAGTTGTGAGGCCCATGGAAATAAAGCAGCATGGGCTATGGCCAACTGCTTGGGAAGACAGGCAGGGCCAGATCCTGAGAGCTGCAGTTGAACATTTCCTGCTATGCCCTAATTATTTCTCTAAAAATGTTACAGCTACTCCTGACATAAAATGTTTGACATCTGTGATCCAGGGCTCAGTAGCTTTCTCTGTCCTGTGATACTATTGTAACTGTCCTATCTTAAGGCCCATCTCATCCAACATTTCCCTCCAAGAAGTGAAAAAAGGAAAAATGGATTTCAGGAAAAAAAAAAAATGTTTCAACACTCGACCAAATATGAGAGACAAAAAAGAAGAAACTGGCTTTTCTTCAAGGACTCTGCAACAACAAATGCAGAACGTGTGGGCTGACAGACTCCTCTGAAAGCTGGGAAGAGAGAAACCCCCATGGTCAGCCTGGGTGCTGTTGTATTTTGAAAGACGCTCAGGAGGACTGCCAAGCGTTTCTGCAGTAAGTAATGATGACTCCAGATTCTTTCAGGCTCTAAAAGATTACCCTTATTTTTTATCTGAGGTTTGAGCATATGCAGGGCAAGCCCCATATGCATTCCTTGTGTTTCCTGGTGTTATGTATTTTCCAGAGGGTATAGACAATAAGATGTATGTTACTGTTCAAAGCATGACCCCACACTATTTAAAAAGGGGGTGGGATGGCAGTGTGTCAAGGCACAAGGAGTAAGGTGCTTAAGAAGATCAGGTCAGGACATTAGCTCTCACTGTTGAGGGTTTCAGAGCTCAGAAAGACTTTGTACTCATGGTGATAAAAATCTCTAAGCTGCAGCTATAGGGAAAGGTCCAAGATTGAGCTATGAAGTCACACAGCAGCAAGGTGCTTGTCAGTGGGCACTGGCACCCACAGCCGAGGGACTATGAGAGATGACAGGAGGAGCTCAGGGCTGTGACAAGGTGGAGCAGCAGCAGCAGAGCAACATGAAGTTGGAGCTGGAGGAGGGCTGTGTGCCAAGTATTTGCTTGCACACTTCCCTGCTACTTAAAGGTAGTAATCGTAGTAATCTTCCTGCACAGTGTCATCCTGGCTGGTCAAAACAGAGAGCAGAAAACCTACCTGTGCTGCTGCCTATGTGGAAATCCAACTTGCTTTG